GATTTACTGCGCACTTACTTAGACTCTGGTCAGATTTAAACTCCGACCCGGAACCTTAACAAGTAGTAAAGAAATGTCATATTCTAGAACTTATATTCAGTAAGTTCTGAAATTTCAGAGCGACCATTCCTTGTTTGACAACCACGCGATTTTCCCCCGTTTATTTTTAAACAGTTTCCATGACCATGTGTGGTGTGTGTTAAATGTACATGTAGGTCTGATTTGTCAATTTTTAATATGTTGTGAATGTATATTTGTAAAAAAAAAAGAATGCGCCAAAAAGACTGGTTTTTCTCCATGATGTTCAAAACACCTCTTGGAATGTGCACGTGTGCGTATAGAGCGATTCCGAATGTCGCTACAATTAGCAGTTCAACCAATGATAGCGTGGCAATTATCGGTTCGACCAATGAGAGAGTTGCTGCATCTCCAGCAGGAATTTGCCTTATCTATGTTTTGACGAAAGGGGGCGGGGCTTCTGATTTCCCTTGGATATTATAATGGAACCCAATTCTTAATGGCCAAGACCAAACATTTATTGCGCCAACACTTGTAACAGCTGTCGCGTGGGCGGGTTGCAAGTTTCCAAACATTTCATGCCAATTTTTCACACACAGCTGCAGGTCAAGCGGTTTGATTTTCTAGTTGTTGTTGCTTAGCCTCCTTCGCAGTCTTGTCGGGCGTCGGCGTTATTTTTTCTCTGAGCGACGCGAGTAATATGCCGCCGCGAGGGACGATTTGCTGCCAAGGGAGTTTTTGCCACGGAGAGAAGGTTTTTGCGAAACGCCCAACAAGACTGCGAAGGAGGCTAGTTGTTGCTAACGTTATATGTTTTACGCGGTCACTAGGTACAGTTTTTGTTGAGGTGTTAGTCAGTTTTAATGTAAAGCTGATAGTGTCTTGTAACTTCTTTTCATATTAACATGTCCTGACGGGATGAGACGACAGAGACACCCGGTAATTGGATCCAGCAGTTGAGAAAATTGTGCATCTTACCAACGATTTAACTTGGTGTTATTTGAAGAAAGTGTGTAACTTGAATGTAATACTAGAGTTCCACGATCTCATACCGGTACCTTCGCCAAATGATGTTAAACTTTATGACTGACAAATCATAGATTATTCCCCATGATTATGCAAATAGGATCCTCATTTCCATGAATTATATCAGTTGATCATATTCTTCACAAATAGACAGTCTTATCTTAACAAAGAATGCCATTCTAGCATTTCCTTATAAATTATGCAAAGGAGGTTCTTATTTGAATAAGTTTAATGTTTAATGATGTTCACCTTCACTTAAGTTTAAAATACGTAATCAGTATGAAAGTCCAGGGAGCTACCATTGCTGAATTACAATATTTTCTCATACATTATGCAAATTAATTTACCAATTTACATAATCAATATCTGCCTGTGTTTTTCTTGTTCTGTCACATATGCCACAAGCTTGAATAGTCCTATCATGTAATGCAACTAATTTCAAGAATATCCTCATAAATTCTGCAAATTACATCCATATTTGCATTATCGCCGCACCAAAAATCATGACGATCTGTCAACCGGTTCTTGAGTTATTCTCGTTTGAATATTATCAAAACAAATGCCCCTGCAGTTCTCGAGCAAGCCGGTAGGGGGCCCAAGCTCACGCCACGTCGTCCTCAGCAAAAGAGCTACCTACCATCTAACTTTCGTCACCCTAGAATGTCTAGGTCATGAGATATCAAAACCGGAAGTTCCACTGCAGTACCATAAGAAGACGCTAGATGGTCCAAAATCTAATCATTTCGAGGTCTCACCAAGACCTACCCAGCTACTAAATATGAAGTCAATCCATTAAAGCCTTATTTTCTTAAGTTATCGTGTTTCCGGACACACACACACACACACACACACACACACACACACACACACACACACACACACACACACACACGAACGCCTCTTAAAACATAACCTTCTTGGCGAAGGTAATTAACAGAGCAGACCATATGCGAAGGAAACATGAATTTGCTTTGCAAATGTTTACTAGTACGTCATAGTTTGTTTTTACCGCAATGAATGCCGGGATAGTTTGCGGTCAATCGATGTTTATATTGTACAGGGGTGTGCGCAGCGCGGTGTAGCCTTTGTACTACTTTCGTCTACTGTCACAACTACATCACTCATAACGGCATGTAATGCTGTGTCAACCAAACTAGACGCAGCAAAAATTAAACACACCTGACTTTATAAACTTTGAAATTATCTTTATTCGTTAACTGACCGTTCTAGAATGTTTTTTTTTGAACAGGTAAACAAATACTGACGTAATAATGTGATAGACGTCTAACGTCTAAGCACGTCTAACCCTCAGAAGACGGGGAACAACAGACGATAAATGCTAGTTAAATGCAGTTCTTCCCTACTCTTACTTAACCCTCAAACACCCGAACGGGATCCATTTGGACTCCAGACGTATATTTTTATGTGCTATTTGAATTTTTTTTATTCGAAAAAAAATTCCTCCTGTGACTTTTTCGATAAACCTCTTCTACAAGTTCTCCTAAATTTTTTTGGAGATCGGCACAAATTTGTAAAAATAACAACGGAAGTCATATGTAAGACCGTCTGGGGTCCAAACGGACCCCAGCCATGTATTTGCACTTTCCTACATACAAAATTGTTCGGATGTCCTCAAAATGTCTTCAAGGAAGCATAATTGCTTTGTTATTATGCAGTTTGCCAAGTAACCTTAACCTCAGGAATTATTTCATCGGGTAAATAGAGGTTTGACAATTTGACAGTCATATGAGGTCAAAGGTCAACCCCATGTTCATGCCTGCAGGCCTCATCCCATTTTTGCATAAATTATGATAATGAGTTCGGAAATTTTTAACACTTAATCATGCCAAAATATACCTCTTACTATGTTTAACCAATATATGTGCAAAGATCACTAAAAGAATGCAAAAATTAAGGAATATAGATTTGAAAGAAACCAAATGGGATCCATTTGGACCCCGTTCGGGCATTAACGTCACAAAAAAAGTTCGGGTGTTTGAGGGTTAAGAGGGCATAGAGTGACTGAGTGCGGCTAGCATTGACATTTACCTCTACTAGTAGTGTAAATAGGCATTATTATAGCTCTCTACCGCTTTTGTGTGATTATTGTGTAAATTATGTATTTTTAAAACCATTAGTATTGTTACCTCCATGAAATGTGTCATGGAGGTTATATTTTCAGTTGCGTTTATCTGTCCGTCCGTCCGTCCGTCCGTCCGTCTGTCTGTTGGTCAACAAGATAACTCAAGAACGCCTGGATGGATATGTTTCATACTTGGTGTGTTGGTAGGGTGTGACGAAAACTGGAAATGATGAGATTTTGGTCCCCCTAGTGGCTTCCCTTGGTACTGCAGCGCAACTTCCGGTTTTGATATCTCGCGATCTGGACATGCTAGGGTCATGAAATTTTGATGGAAGGTAGCTCTCGTGCTTGGGAAGAAGTCATATGAGTTTGGGCCCCCTAGCGGCTTGTTCTGGAACTGCAGGGCACTTTCTGGCGAAATGTTTAAAAGCCAATAAGTCCAGACAGGAACAACATATTTTCATTATTTTTGGTGTGTAGGTAGCTGAGAGAGAGATGTACATAATTAAATGCAAATTATGCAAATGAGGACTTTATTCGCATAATTAATGAGGAAATTCTATAATTACAGTGTTTTACATTATCTCGCGATCTGGACATGCTAGGGTCATGAAGTTTTGATGGAAGGTAGCTCTCGTGCTTGGGAAGAAGTCATATGAGTTTGGGCCCCCTAGCGGCTTGTTCTGGAACTGCAGGGCACTTTCTGGCGAAATGTTTAAAAGCCAATAAGTCCAGACAGGAGCAACATATTTTCATTATTTTTGGTGTGTAGGTAGCTGAGAGAGATGTACATAATTAAATGCAAATTATGCAAATGAGGACTTTATTTGCATAATTAATGAGGAAATTCTATAATTACAGTGTTTTACATTATACTATGTAACCAATGGCAGGCGGAACTTCAACAGATACTAATTATGCAAATGATGATCTAATTTGCATAATTAATGCGAATGATTTCGTAATGGTGAATGATGAGAATGTCATACTTGGGACATCTGTAAGTTAATCAAAAGTTAACATACATCACGATGCATATATCATGTTAATGCAGAGGTCATTTGAACAATTAAAGAAGAAATTTACATTTACATATCAAGATCATATTTCATGGAGGTATGAGATCTCGGAATTCTAGTTTAATATCTAATTTTATGAATTGTAAAAACAACTCAATTCAGACTTGAGGTCTGCTAGTTGTTTGAATAAAGATTGATTGATTGATTGATTGATTGATTGATTGATTGATTGATTGATTGATTGATTGATTGATTGATTGATTGATTGATAAACCGGACAGTGAGTGAGTGAGTGAGTGTGAGACCTATCACATTATTACGTCACAGTTTGTTTACTGCAATGAATGCCGGTCAATCGACGTTTATATTGTACAGGGGTGCGTAGCGCGGTGTGTGTTTGTGTAGCGTTAGACATAATATAAGGCTTTTTAATACAGTACTACTTCCGTCTAGTCACAACTAGTTGACCCATTACGGCATGTAATGCTGTGTCAACAAAACTAGACGCAGCGAAAAATCAAACACACCTGACTTTAAACTTAAAAAGATCTTTATTCTTTACCTGATCTTTATTCTTTACTTTCTAGAATGTTTTTTAGAACAGGTAAACAAACTGTGACGTAATAATGTAATAGGTCAGGTGAGACTTGGATTGTTCTTAAGAATATCACGTTCGAAAGAAGCTAACGTTGCAAAAGAATGGAATACAGATGACGTTACATATACAAATTGTCAAGTAGCTAGAATTATTATTTTTTTCTCGTTTCTTATTAATGGTAAAAAGGTAAGAACGGGTATGCTTCAGAATAGGAGGTTAATAGACATGTCAACGTTTGAAATCCACACGACCGCAGGTTTGCGCAAGCTGGCACCTGATTGGTCAGGCGAGAATCGGATTGTTCTCCAGAATATCATGTTACAAAAAACAAGCAAGCTAACGTTGCAGTGACCTGTAGGACACCCAGGCACCATAGTAACTCCACAAGATTATGTCAGGGTAGCAGAACAAGACAGAGACGTCTTTTACATGACTGTGAGTTCTTTTATTTGTATAGTATCGCTGCTATCCAATGTAACGATGTTTCAGCAGTGTTTAACATTATGCATTCTCCCTTCCTAACGTAAAATAGTTTGAAGGTCATAATAATGCTCATGCTGAATAAACTGTCGGCACTACATATTTGTTACCCTGGATGCAAGACTAGTATCGGGCCATTAACCGTTTTCCTTCGGCAGCCAAGAGCCCCTCCCCCGCCTATCTAAATTACCGCTACGGGGGAGTTGAGCGCGAGGGGTTTGTAGGGCCAGCCAAACTCCCCAGCCTGGGCTAGACTCCCCCGTAGCGGTAATTTACACCAGCGGGCGAAGGGCTCTTGCGGCCCGGAAAACGAGTTCTGGCTTCCAGGGTACATATTTGTAGGCAGTGACTCTAAAATCTACTCAGTAGAGGAATGGTTGTACTGTATATAATCCCGAGTTTTGTGCGTAATTGTGTCCCACAAACTCACGTCTAATGTAACGTAAATGATGTCCCATTTTTCAAAATAGAGCACCAGTCAGACATGGGGAAGTTAAAGTCGTTTGTCGTCACTTTCGACAACAACAAGGACGTGTACCAGGCAGGGGAGATCGTCAGCGGGAAGCTGATCGCAGACGTTACCGAAGGAATAAAAGCCAGAGGTGTGATATAAAATACATATAATATATGATAAGATGTAAAACTTTGGTACCACAGTGGCCAGGTTTAAAGGTCTATAAGATAAACAGAAGTACGCTCTTTAGAATAAACATGTCTGTCACCTAGTGTCACGTAGTAGAAGCAGTACAAAGTAGAAGCAGTACAGAAGTGAGCCGCTAGGTTCGTTACTGGAGATTACAGACCAACAACAAGCATGACAGATACTCTGAGAACACTTGGATGGCCTTCCCTGCAACAACGCAGGCAGCAAGCCAGACTTGTCCTAATGTATAAAGCAGTGAATAACATGATAGCCATCCCTATACACAACATTCTCACCAAAAACACAAACATTACAAGAGGACATCACTCACGCTTTATCACCATCCCATGCAAGACGGAAGCATACAGAGCCAGTTATTTCCCTCGAGCCGTCATCGAGTGGAACACACTACCAGGTACACTCATATCTTGCACATCCCGTGATGTGTTTAAGGCGGGATTGGCCAGTCACCTTGGCCTCTCCGCCAATACCCAGCTGTAGGGTCATTTTTGTTTTCTGGTGTGGCTTTTGTATATAGTTGCACATTTCGGTTTCTTTTTTTTTTTTTGCAATTTATTATTTATAGATCATTTTTCATTTGTTTGTATATTTTTGTTGCGCACCACCACCTGCCACACTAGCTGCACCTCCTTTCCCGGGACGTGATGTGCCGTGAGGCACTTTGTCCCGTATCATGTAGATAGATAGATGTAGTGTCAAGTTTCTCATCATGTTTTTCATGTGATGTTACTTGCGCCATGTTGGATTACACCTAAGGCCACACCAAGTAAATTTTATGGATGACGTCCGCGCGCGCATTGATTTTGGCCTGTTCCTAGAAAAAAAAACAAGAAATTCCGCTTCCTGTAACTATGACCAAAGAGTCACGACAGTGCCGCAAATCGTCAGATTGACGTGAAACCCGTAGCGCGAAAACAGGACAGGACGACAACTGCTGTTCCACCTGATTTATTGCTGTTTTGATGATGAATAAAAGACTTCTTGCTTGTTACACTGTGTCACCTCATTAACATTTGTCGTCTCTTAGTATATTTCTAATCTAGGCATCTTGTTTTTTAGGGCCCTTCTTGTTTTTTTTTCGCCCTCTCGCATTAGATTTAGGGTCTCCAAAGGACGTCATCCATAAAATTTACTTGGTGTGGCCTAAACGTTGCTGCTGTAATCTATTTAGAAACCAACATGGTTACCGGGCATTCAAACTGGTAATATTTCATGGAGTTGCGAGGTCTCCGAATTTTTGTTTAATGAATGAAAGACCTTTATTGTACATTTTCAATTTTGTGCTCTAACAAGCTAAGTACAGGTCATGAATATACGAGGAAAAAGGATACAGCAATTACACTTAAACTATGCATACTAATGTGGTCTACTAGGTACATGTTCGACTTCTTCTCGCTTCTTGACGCAGTTATAGATGTACGAGCATATAGAACTAATGATACATGATTTGTCAAGTTTCATATTATATTAAGAAATCTGAATTCTTCATTTAAATGTCCAAAGCTGGGGAACCTATCTAGTACTAGTATATAAGAATATAGGGAATCTCTCTCATTACTATATAACGTACAATCGACTACGAAATGATACTCATCCTCAATCTTATCTAAATCGCAAAATTGACAAATCCTTTGCTCTATAGGAATGCGGTTGTGTCTGCCTTTTTCTATGTGGAGTTTGTGTGAACTTATCCGGAGTTTTAATTATAGCTCTAGCGCAGTGCAGTTTCTGTGTGAGGTGCTTATCCCTAAGGAGGTGCACATCCTCCCTAGGCAGGGGTGCTTCCTTACTAGCACGGCAAGGCTAACTAACGTATTTGCCGCGGGATAGCTCTGCCGTGGGAGAATGTCTGCATGACCAGTGAGGTCAGGGGGTTTCTAACCAAGGAAATAAGGGAGCTGCTCCCTCATCATGTAACCAGCCAGCTCCTTCATATCAATTTTCAGATTGAACCTTAAGTGGCTACTTACACACCGTTTTAGTCTTTCCCAAAATGATCTTTTTTCAGTGAAGATGTAAAAACAATACAGCAATGCATTCTAGCATTACAAACTGTGTTACTCTAAAAAAACCCCCCCCTCGGTCACTTCACTCCCTCGCCATGCTTGCAATCTGCTCCCTCATGCTAAATTTCTTCTAGAAAAAAACCCTGAGTGATGATATGCCTGTTGTTTTTTTTTTTACGTCCAGGTGTTCGTGTCAGGTTCCATGGGTTTGCTTGGATCCACTCGGGTGATCACCCCCAATATGAGCACGCCATGCACGCTGAGCCCCTCTCATTCGCAGTGCCGGAAACATATTTCGATGAAACCATCACTGTCTGGGGAAAAGGTCAGTAAGGCCACAAAAAGTAATTTTCATGGATGACATCAGCGCGCGCATTAATTTTCGCCTGATTCTGGAAAACACACACACACACACACACACACACACACACACACACACACACACACACACACACACACACTCACTCACCTATACATCCCCGCACACATTCATGGGGCCCTGTTGTACTTATGCGATCCTCTTTGCGTATGAGTTGCGTACGGAGCATTCTTTCATACGCACGTCATATGCATCCCGGTTGTTTTCTGTATGTTTTATGAACGCCATTTTACGCACAGCACACGCATAGCACACGCACAGCACACGCACAGCACGCAGTGTAGTTTTGAGCATGTGTGTCTTCATATCTTCATATTGCTTGTACTATAGGATAGTCTGATGTCTGCTGCCATGCCGAAACGTGGATGGCAGATAAATATGAAGAAAGGAGACAAGGCTATGATTTATTGTATTGTCTTTTATTACTACTTCTGCAATATACAATGTACGTCATTCCTTTTATATGTCATAGCGGCTTTTTTTGCCTGCTTGTCTGAGGAGTCTGCGGAGGATGTCCTCCATAAAATTTACTTGCTGTAAACGGCTTTAGTATAAAATGCTTTTAAATCTCCCGTGATGAGCAGAGTTGGGGGACAGGGACGGAGAAAACCCAACCCTTCCTGCGGGATACTACGAGTTCCCATTCCGCCACCAGTTAGGCACGGGACTGCCCTCGTCATTCGAGGGCAGTCGTGTCGGCTACGTACGCTACTCCGTCAAGGGGATCATCGACAGACCCTGGAAGCTTGACCTCACCACGTACTACATCATCACCGTTCTGGACATGTTAGATCTAAATCAAGAGCCACGGGCTACGGTAGGTTATATGATTGGTTTATTGGTTTGTATCAACATATTTACAACATATCTCGCAGCCTTGACATACAGGGCTGAATTCTGATCAAGTTGTTTACAATATAAGTTATTAATAGTAGGGAAATAATAATTGCAATCATATCGGAACCTACATATATATATATCACTTTGGTTCGAAAATTAGGTATTTTCGATAGGGATATAGATAAGGTTGGAACACTTCTTATCCGGAAGTACTGTTTTGGGTGGCTGAGTTGTAGCTATAGGTTTGTATGTTTACTTTGGAGTCCGGAAAGAGTAGCTTGGTAGGTTGACAGTATGTGGGTGGGGGAGAATGACAGATGCAGTCCTACCTGACCGTAAAGACTACACTACACTACACTACACTACACTACACTACACAGACCACATGACAGGAGGTCAAAGGTCAGACAATGGAGTGAGTTAACGCCTGTAAGGTCACAGATTCCTAATTGCAAGAAAGCTGATTTTGCATGAGCCTTTCTTACTACATGGGTACACACAGATACAACAAGAGTTCCACGATCTCATACCTTCGCCAAATGATGTTAACCCTTGCGGTTGACGAATTAAACAATTTTAATCATTGATTTTGTAAATAAGAGCCTCATTTGCATGGATTATATGATCAGTGGATCATCTTCTCCACCCAATGAGGACCATATCTTAACAAAAAGGCTTTATAGCACTTCCTCATAAATTATGCAAATTAGGTCATGATTTGAATAAATTATGTTTATTGATGTTCACCTTCACTTAACTTCCAAATGTGGCAAGTATGAAATTCCCAGCATTTAAAACTATGAAGTTATAAAAATTTGCCATTAATTATGGAAATTAGGTCCTCATTTACATAATCTATATCCTCATGTTTTTTTCTCGTTCTCAAGTAGATGTCACAAGTGTTTCATAGTTCTATTATCGAACAAAGCAGATTTATAAAATTTCCTCATTAATTATGCAAATTAGCTCCTGATTTGCATAATTGTCATCTGATTATGTCAAGCATTGCTTCAACTACCTACATACCAAAAATCACGACAATCCGTCAACCGGTTCTTGAGTTATCCTCCTTCTAAAAAATTTTCAACAAATGCTCCTGCAGTTCCAGAACGAGCCGCTAGGGAACCCAAACTCATGTCAATTCTTTCCTATCCCAAGAGCTATCTGTCACCCAAAATTCGTGATCCTAGCATGTCCAGATCACGAGATATCAAAACCGGAAGTTCTGCTGCAGTACCTAGGAAAGCCGCCAGGGGGGCCAAAATCATCATTTGTAGGTCTAATGAAGACCTACCCACCTACCAAGTTTCATTCCAATCCATCCACTGCTTCTCGAGTTATCTTGCTAAACCACACACACACACACACACACACACACACACACACACACACAAACACACACACACACAAACGCTACTGAAAACACTAGAAAGGCCGACATTTGCTTGAGAGCAAATGCAGCAGATGGCTTCACCCTATCCCCCATACCGTAAATGGATCTATCCTACGATGGCTGCCAATAGTCTACACCCCCATGCAGAAATGGAACCTTCCAATGCCGGAAATAGCCAAAAAGCCCTATTTTACATAACTTTAAAGTGGTGTATGTCAAAATCGTGAATGACATTCCATGGACATGTGCCCAAGGTATTCCCATGCCAAATTTCAGGTCATTCGTTTTAGTACCTGGGAACCAGATCTCAAAATGTATATTTTTTGCCTGAAAATGGCCAAAAAACCCAAATAAAACAATTTTTCAAAAAAATGAAAAAAACGCGTCGGGGTATTTGCCCACTCTACCTTCATGCCAAATTTCGTGTTATTTTGCCGGAAAATGGCAGAGATGAATCCATTTAAAGAAATGGCAGGAGAAGGAGAAGAAGGAGAAGAAGAAACATGAGGGAACACAATATGTCTTCACCACTTTGTAGTGAAGCCATAATAACCTTCTTGGCGAAGGTAATAAAAAGGAAAGAAAAATGATGCCTGGTCTAAACATTTAACATGTTGGTTCTCTGTACTTTTCTGGGAGGTTTGATGAATATTACCATGGCAAGAATAGTTTAACAGAATAGAATAGAATAGATTAGAATAGCAGTTACCTTGTTCCTCTTACCTGTTCATATATTGCAATATACTGTTTATCCTGTATGTATACCAACGTTATTAGATTAAAGTAGAGATAGTAAGTTTGATAAGTATATCGTACACGTAGAACTTCATGTTAGCGGATAGTCTTATATCACCACTTTTCTTGTCAATGTCAGTTTGCAATTAGCCCTCGGGCATGAATTTGCAATAAACAACTTTATTATCTTATTACTTTCCTTTCAATGTCTTAAAACAGATGCCGTCAGGAAGTCAGAACTCCAAGACTCTGTGCTGCCTGTGCTGTACATCGGGACCGATCGAACTGCAGGCACAGACAGACAGGGGTGGGTACTGTCCCGGGGAGAGGATTGTTGTAAAGGGGTCAGTGGAAAACAACAGCAACACCAGGATCACCAAGACAACGGCAAAGATTGTACAGGTATGTCACGGTGTCACAAGAGATATATGAGAGTCAAGTATTTGCCTAAAAGTAGGAACATTTTTCTTTTACTTTTAAAGATTGACTTGACTAATAATTTTGCCTTACTGACATACCTACCAAAACACTTCAATGCAGTTTATACTGTCAACAGGGCATGGCTTTGTACATGTGTTGTTAACCCAATCAAATACCAACAGCCAATCAGCAAGAAGAATAGAGGAAAGCTACGTGCCTATTGGTTGCTTGCTCTGCATGCCATTCTGATGACTCATGCCCAAATATGGTAACACACTGCTATAGCACATTTTCTATAACACAGCCAAAAAGCCTGTATCACAAAAATGGTGTGAAAAAAACGCCTGGGGGTATTTGCCCACTCTACCTTCATGCCAACTTTCATGTTATTTGGCCAAAAAATGAAGGAGTTGAATCAATTTAAAGAAATGGCAGGAGAATGAGGAGGAGAAGAAGAAACATGAGGTGTACAGTGTATGTACTTGTAGACAAAACTCAGTTTTCTTCCACATGCAGTTCAACAAAACCTGTCTTTTCCCCCAGATGGTGACGTCGACCGGCTTCCCTCCTACTGATGGGTCCGTACCCTCCGACACCCTGAGTTCTACCGTAGAAGGGCCGGGCTGTAGCGCTCGTCTGTCCGAGAACATCGAACTGGTTCTTCCAATACCCGCCCTTCCCCCCTCTGGGCTGAGATATTGTAACGTCATTGACATCAAATATGTGGTTCTGGTAATGTTCCACTCTCTAAGCAGAGGTTTCGGCTGCGGCTTATTTTTCACATGTTTTAGGTGTTTTTATTAGGTCTTATTTTTTTGTACTAGTATTTTTTTTAATGCCAGCCAAAGTTGGGCTAGAATAAACAAGAAAAGCTTTTTAAAAAATCAGGCCCGGCCTAAAAAAAACAGAAGTAAAGAACTAGATGATGGCATCGCGGTGTCGCTAACTGACCGTAAACTGGTCCGGCACGTAACCTGCGTTACCTGATCTACATAATTTATGCAAGAAAATGACATTTTTCTTTCCTTTGCTAAGAACTGATATAGAATTTTGATGTGATGATTTGCTGGCAGTGGTCGTCAGCACTGGAATTCCGAGTACACTTAAGAAGCACAAAATCGTACTTTTACTACGAAAATGAACGGAACTAGTGCAGCACTGGAATTCCAGTGCTGACGCAATTTCGACAGCTGATTCAGCACTGGAACACCATTGCGCGGAGGGCGCTACTTTTGTATATTTGCGCGATGGTATTGCTTTCTGGCCTAGCCGGGCCTAGCCTTGCATTGCGTAGACTGACCATGCAATGGTCTGGTATCATCGTCATGCATGGCGTATAATTAAGGGGTTCTGCAATGGTTTAATGTAACGTTAACCAAAACACGGAACGCACACTACTGAAACCGGGCAAAAATTCAGAGAAAAAGCCTGGAAAGAAAGGACATCAAAAATGCCCCAAAAAACATGCCAAAAATACGCCAAAGCTTAAACCCCTGCTTGGACAGTAGTCTTGAGTTATGTCTTGAGCTTTATCATATTGAAAACACAGCACAATGAATTATGTGAAATTTCAGCCATTCTTCCGGCATTGGTCATGTTTTTTTTATTTCTTTGTTTTGTGCATCTTTGAGTTCAAGTACATCTATCTGTGTAAGATCAGACTGTAAGTTTTAACCACTCACACCAGGATGGAACCCTACCCGTTTCTCCACATTTTCCCAGTTATTGATTTCAGATTGGAACCAATTTCTTTAAAAATTTTTAACATAAGTAATATATACTATATAATTTATTTTACTAAGAACAGTATAGAACCTAAACAACAAGGCTAATAATTATAGCTCTCTCTTACCTGCTTTGTAGCATGTCAATAAGAAAACATACAACTTACAACGTGTACTAGCAAGTAATAATGTCCTAGGTACTAGCTGATGTTTGTTCTTATTTTCCCCAGGTTACTGCACACTTTCAAGGACCTCACCGGAACCTTGAAGTTGAACTCCCCATTATAATTGGCTCTGTGCCACTGAAGACACTATATAGTGGTCATCCAAACCCAGCGTATGCACCAGCAACCGCGCCACCTCTACGTAAGTACGGCCATGTTGATTTGATTATATGGATGACATCCTCTGGGAACTCCAAAACTGATGCGCGCGTGCGAATAGACAAAAAAAGTTTGAAGGTTGAACAAATGACACAGAATAATACTGGCGAATAATCTACTCTTCAAATTCATTTCTTTACATTTTTGTCTTTTTTCGTTTGATTTTGGCATTCTACGACATTAGTATCGATTTTAAATATTCTTTGTGCAACTTATGGCATATATTTGCTCATTTTGCAACTGTTTTGTTTTGTACGATTTACAGTATGGTTAAAAACCTTTTTTTGGAAACGTCCGAAAATTCATGCACGCGTGGATGTCATTCATAGAATCAAATCTACATGGCCTAAGGCTACGGCAAGTAATTATTTTGATTGACATCAGCGCGCGCATTAATTTTCGCCTGATTTTGGAAAAAAAAAAGAAATTTTGTTGCCCATGCAAAGATGTCTAGCTGTTACCATGCCGGAACATGGATGGCAGATAGCATGAAGAGAGGAGACAAGAAAAGGCTCTGATTTATTGTTTTGACTTTGATGATGCAGAGATGTATTTTATTCCTTTTATATGTGGTGTTCCTACTGAATCAAAACGATTGAAAATGAAAATGATTGAAACAATATAGAATAATTGTCCCAAAGTATAAAAGCTAGAAATTCATTTTTTTGGCAAATACAGAGACATGTCTTTGTTTTTTCCCGGCATATTTTTAGCATTTCATGATGTGCTTTACATGTTGTGTGGTTGCTACATTCTTCAAAGCGAACATTTGGACTAGTCCCAACTACTTCAAACTAGTTCTGAAACTTTGGACTAGTCCCAACCAGTCATGACCAGTTCTGAACTCAATGGGACCAGCTAAAACCCCTTTGGACTAGTCCCAACTAGTTCACACCAGTTCTGAACTGCATGGGACCTATAGCTGCTAAACAGAGTCCCTTTGGACTAGACCCAACTACTTCGAACTATAGTTCTGAACTCCATGGGAACAGTGCTAAAATCCCTTTGGACTAGTCCCAACTAGTTCGAACTAGTTTTGAACTAACTCATGGGACCTGCTAAAACCCCTTTGGACTAGTCCCGACTACTTCAGACCAGTTCTGAACTCCAAGGGAACAGTGCTAAAATCCCTTTGGACTAGTCCCAACTAATTCGAACTAGTTTTGAACTAACTCATGGGACCTGCTAAAACCCCTTTGGACTAGTCCCAACTACTTCAGATCAGTTCTGAACTCCAAGGGACCTGCTAAAGTCCCTTTGGACTTAAGTACTAACTAGTTCGGACCAGTCCCAACTGGTTCAGTGCGACTGAGAGTTCATTTTTAAGAGGATTCATATTTCCCATCACAGTTCCTCCACCCACATACGTAGAGGCAGAGGCTGGCGTCGACATTGTGGACAACATAGTGAACAGAGACAAGTACACCCCGTCACAACTCTACTACGCTCCAAAGTACATGTACTACGACTGGAGCCAACACCCTCAACAGTAGGATAGAACGTCACTGCTCACATCCCATACCCAAGTCTGAATCCTGTAAAACTCAGACATGCAAAACTTTTGACTGATACAAGTATGTATACATGTACGGCATTTTCACTCACTACATCCCATATCAATGAAGCAGGCAGGTACAGACCGCCATGCTGGTGTTCTTCATCTGCATTTCCATGGACTTCACACAGCGTTTTAGAATTTTATTGTCAAGTTTTTACATTACGTGTTGTGTGTGTATTCTCTTATGTTGAGACGGTCATAGGGTCTGTATTACCGGGTACTCTAAAATGCAAGCAGATGTATTTTTTTTTACGCCAGTGGGTGGTATATTGGATACTACCTGGCCAATTTGATGCTCTTCAGTTGCCTGTATTGAAGCCACCAAATGATGATATGCTTGGAGATTCATATGTAATGTGATAATGCTTTATTGGTTGTTGAACACTTTATTTGTCACCATCAATAATTGGACTGGAAACACATGAAATGAAGGGAATAAACATTTCGGAAATATACACCTGTTTTGACTTTCCTATAACATGACCTAAAGGTTATTATACAGTTATATGGTATCGAGTTGCAGCCAGGAGGTTATAACCTCTTTGGTTGCAGGCATAATATTGTTTTATAAATAAAAAGAACTCTTGAGGTAATTGTTTGTCTACTATGGGCCAATTTGCGCCTGAAATAAAGAATAAAGAAATAAAGATTTTTTGATTTGTCAGATATAATTTATTAATCTGGTTGCAGTGCATCATTGAAAAAGTACAAATACATTGGAATGGCCATTTGTTTTCAGGCTGAAACTTGTAGATTATCCAACTATTGTCCAATTTTTATAAGACTGAATGATACTAGAACCACGTATTAAATTTTATCAGTTATTGAATGCTGTTGCAAAAAAAATGTATATAATATGTATATGCAGAAAAGTAACATTTGCAAAGCAAATGCATAATGTTTACCTTCGCATATGGTCTGCTCTGTTAATTCTTACCCAAACACATTCACGTATATTGTGAAAGGAGTCTAAATCCCTCCTACTATGAAATTGCAACATTATGTAACCCAGGACCAGTTACCATGGTGACAGATGTCAACGAATCAGGTCATTGGCCATGTCAGGGGTTACTGTTTGGAGGAGATGAACAAGGAACGGCAAAAACAATGTTTTTCTTTGGCAAACCTAAAAAAATATCATAAATGTTACATACAGACCTTTCAACATTCTACCTGGTACACATGTATGTTCGCCACTTTTTTTGTCCACATTATCATACTTGTTACAGTTGGCGGACTTTATATCCATAATCATGACGTTTGCGTTTGGCATCTTTGAAACCTGAAAATTGGCTGCACACCTAGTAAGAAGACAAAGCACTTTGGGAACAATTCTATCATTTTCTGTAGGAATCCTCCATCGTGGTCTGCCAGTGCAACAGGCCAGAAAGTACCCCTGGCCAGAATATACCGGGAGACATTCTGACCAGGGGTACATTCTGACCAGGGGTACCTTCTGGCCTGTTACACTGCTATTACAGGTGTTGTCCATGAAAACTTGTCAACAAAACACAACATAATCAGTGCAAGATGCAAATATCACAGGTCAGGAATATTTGACTAATATTTGAATATAAGAATGGTAGAAGTGATGTCATTACCCTATTCTTTCTCTTTTTTTTGTCTTTGCTTTTGAACAGAAATTTCAGTGTGTGGTGGCAGGGAAATTTCAACTTGCATGCAATAAGGCCACTGGCAAGTAGTGTACCTATACTGGTACTATAAACAAAACATACATTCAATTCCAGTGATACAACATTTTATCTGCACACAACATACTTTTTTTGTAACAAGTAACCTACACCGATCCCTATCTTTTCAAGAACAATAAGATTAACTATTTTCAGTCTGTGTGTTTGTTCTTGATTGATGAGTAGATAAATGTATATTCCACAAGTGTTTCCTGGGATGATTCTGTCCCTCAGTCAAACTTCTTCCGTGTAGCTGTGAATCGGTCCATGTACTGTAAAGGAAAGTAAAATACTGTAAATATAGAGTAAGATATGGTGTTTCCATATCACCAGAGGTCCTAGTCGGACCACAATCAGAATGATAGTCTGACTGGGGCCACATTTAATTGCAAAATTTGGTGTCCCTAAACATCAATTCCAACTGAATCTAAATGGTAACTGATTTTTTAAAGTGGTGATTCTATGGAACATTTGTGATAATTGTTAGAACTCTGTGATATGACTAGTTATCACACATGCCAGAACATCCGTATCAAATGTTATTCCAGCTCAGGTATATAAATTCATTTCTATTTATAATATATTCATATTTTCAGTGTTCTGAAATTTTGTTCTGCAGTTCCGAAATACTTTCTGCAAATACACGCTCAAAAGTCTCCTGGATCTATACCCATTGCATTTACAAAATTGCATGTTGGCAAATATTTTACATGCAATTTCAAAAATGCCTGCAAAATTACCATATTATAGAGTCAGTAATAAACACAAAAGCTCTTAAACATCATTGAACCCGTAGCCTGATTTTTTTCAGTCTACAAACTTGCAGGTTGCTTAATTTTTCTTCTGCAATATTGAAAATGTTTTTGCAAAATGCAGACTGCAGGTGGGTATTTCTAACACTATATTTGAATGTGGAGATCTAGGAGGGGAGAGGAGGCTATTGCAGAGTGTTTTTTGAGTTTGCAGATGAAACAATTTTGATAAACTGGACACATTAAACCGAAACACAACATTTTTTTCCTGGCCCTGACCCAAGTGAGTCTGTACTCCCCATGAAGTTGTGTTAGTCTGTCCCTACCTTTTCATAACCCTCCAACTCCCTCAGGTCCTTAACCTCAAACAGGTTTCCCTCTAACGCCAGGACAGACACCTTGGACTCCCCCAGGATCTTGGGAGAGATGGTGGACAGCTGCAGGCAGTTCTCCTCCACCCGCAGCACCTTCAGCCGCGGACAGGTGGCCAGGGCAGCTGTCAGGTTATTGATCTATAAGTAGGGAAGAAACAGGTTTTGTTTAGGCCTAGGAAAATAAATGTTGTGTTTCCTGTTTCCCAACCGACCCTAAAAAAAAACCTACGGACCCTAGACTTTTTTTTGGTGGATCCCTGCAAGGGACATAATGATTAATTTTTCGAGCTGATCCACCTTTTCTAGCTCAATGCTCTCTCACCTGAGTGATAAAACATTGTACAATTGGATTTCTAACATTGACTATAATTAAAAATAAAAGTGTCCTCATGAGAGTTTACTTTGTTAAACTGTATTGTATGAGTTGGACCCCTGTATACACGTAGATATCACTGACATCTAAAAAAAAAAAAGAAGAAAAAAAAAAAGATAATCCCTACCAATTGCAACTGACCCTACCAATAATTTTTTCTGGACCGAAACAGGAAACACAACATCTTTTTTCCTAGGCCTTGGAAAAACTTGAAAGTTTTTTGCCAAAATTAAGGTACTAGTACATTAATGTACTATCATGGTGTTACAATGTGTATAGAAAAAGGAACAACACTATATACATGTAGGAAGACATAACAGAAGAGAAAAAAGAACTAATGCTGGGTTTCTGTTTTCTTTGAGTGTTGTTACTACTAGACAAGTACTAGTAATGTTACTGTTTGTCCTTTTATTCTTAACCACAGAAATAATACAATCATCAATGGACTACTACCTCTAAAGATTTCTTCTTTCCCCTATTACCGCACCTAAACCACCCCCCACTAAGGCATACAACATAATTACACAATGTCTTCACCCCCTCTACATTTTTTTTATTCCAACATTTTCATGACCAAACATTGTAAGTCCTATTGATCTGCAGCTAGTGAAAGAGTCTTAACCGATCTCATCTTGGGGGCGGTAAGAAAAAAATCAAACTGTTTTGTGTTCTTTGATATCTTACCAACCACTGGCCTTCTTAGTGGCCTTATCGCCCCTCATTTACATGTATGTCGCATAAGCGAAATTATGTAAAAAGTCAGCTAGTTATGTATTTATAGCAGCATAATCTACTGAAAAATAGCACTCCCTTCTGGACTTTACATTAAAGAACCCACTAAAATAGAGAAGGGGTCCTTCTTGGTGTGACTGGTTCAAAAACAGCTAAGTGCTTAATGTACAAAACTGGTGATTTACCAGTTAAATCAAAGTTTAACAAACAAATGAACAAACAAAACAATTTTCTCTCTTACAATTTCATTAGTATTCAGACTGACTCACCGTTCCTAACAAGACTCCAACCATGCAGAAGTCATTACTTAGGGATGACTGGTGTATAGAGACAGTTGCTTGGGCAAGATTGACTTAGTATTATACTAAAGGATATTCCTGTTAGGCCACACCAATTCAACTTGTTGCTTCTCAGATCGCCCTGTCCATTTTCTTCAGATTTGCAAAAAAAAAAAAATTATATCTAAATTAACTGCAAAATGCTCAATGAAAGACATATTTTGGCCCCAAGGGATGAAGAAAGTCTTTTCTTCCTAGTTCTTAAAGTTTTTCAATGTAACAATGCAATTTTGTTTCATTAAAAGTTCAAAATGTATTGTTTTAATTGTAAACCAGCCTGGTACATGTTCACTTCATGGCTCATATTGTAACATTTCCGGCTATCATAGGGTGCCTTGGACTGTTTTTTTTTTATTTCGCCTTGTCGCTTCATATTTTTTTCTGAAAAAATCTGAGAAACAACAAATTACATTGGTGTGGCCTTACAAACAAAGGTACTAGTACATTACCTGGTTCTGGTTGAGATTGAGTTCAATGACCTGTAGGTCACCGACCCCTTCAGGAATCTCCGTCAGGGCATTTCGTGAGAGGTCCAGTGCGTCCAGGTGTCTGAGCTTGCACAGAGCGAGCGGGAAGCTGTCCACCTTGTTCCCCGCTAGCGACAGCGACTTCAGGTTGGTCAGTTTGTCCACAGACGTGGGAAGTCTCTGGATCCTGTTGTTTTCTAGTGAAAGTGTCTCCAACTTCTTTAGTTGGAAGAACTCTTCTGGAAGGGTTTCTGCAAGAAAAGAAAAGGAAAGTTCATTCAATGTAAATTTCTAATTTTCTGTTTCAAAGTCATGAACAACAATATACCTGCAGTTCTAGGAAAAAGCTGCAAGGGGTCCCAAACTTTTTTTAAAAATTCTAACTGAGCTCAATGGCTCTCTACATGTACACAGACATCACAACCATACTGTGTTGCAACGGGCTTTGTCCAGTATGGCATTTAGTCCAGAATAAAAGATATTAGTTCTGCTAACCAACAAATAAAATTGGTGTGGCCCTGGATAAAAAAAAAAAACACTGCAAGAAAAAAATAACTTCTTCTCACCTAGTCGGTTGTTGCTGATTGTGAAGCTTTTCAGCATACCAAACTGGCCGATGGTCTTAGGCAACACCGCTATCTTGTTGTTGGACACATCTAAGGTCCTCAGATTCTTAGACAGTCTCTGCAGTTCTGGTGGGAACTGTAAGATGGCGCAAATGAGTAAGGCGACCACCAATACACCACCAAGTACACAATGACATGCATGTGCTACATGGAAACAACAAGAGCTTTTTTTTTCTTTTCTATCATGTGCTAATGTAAACAATAGCCTGGATTGTGACACTCCTGGCTAATCATTGGTTTACAGCAAGGTTGCAAAGTTCTAGCTACATGCAGAAGTCCTGGTGGTGGAGAGAAGATGCCAGTGTACTCTTGAGCTGCTCTACTAAAACCACTAAGACCCTGTTCAGATGAAAATGCTGTCATGACTGTCATGCTCGTAGCCAGGATTTTTAAAAATGAACCTTCTAAAATGGCATTTCGTGCATTTTTGAGAGGATTTTCAAGAAAAAATCAGAGATAAATTTTTATTTAATGACAAAGGGAGCAGTTTTTCTACGATTCCAGTCCATCTTTTGAAGAAAAATCTTTGACCTTTACATAAAAAGTGGACCAAAAAGTGGACCTTTACTAAAGTTTACATAAAAAGTGGACCAAAAAAGTGGACCTTTTAGCCTTGTGGGGGGGCTCTTCTGAACCCCCCGAACCCCCCCTGGCTATGGGCATGTGGCATTTGATCCAGATTCCACCGATTCGGAAGCCAGTTTCAAGTGGCCCCATCTGAACACTCCAAATCGCATTGCACATCAATCCCAAACCACCTCAGGAGGTAGTTTTGAAGTGGTTTCAACACATTCTGACGTTAGTCTGAATGGAATGTGATTCCAATGTGACACCACCGGTTTACTTTACATATTGACCAGGTCATGGATTACAGGGCGGTATTTGTTTATTCATATGCAAAACCAAAATTTAGGTGGCAGCAACTTAAAGAGCAGTAATGGTCAAATAATGTGTCCGTTTTAGGGCGAGCTTCACCGCCTCTGGCGGGACTACGTCGGCATTCGGCCGAGATAAGCTGGGAGGGGGGCACCAGCAAGCAGGTCATTGACCTCTGACATTAATACCACGCTATATATATATCTTGTGTCTTTTCATCAAACAGCAATGATTGTAGTTTAGCCGAATCATGTTTGGACACAATTTCGAAGGAATGTGTGGCACATGGACTAGGGCTGCGGGTACCGGTCCAATACCGTAAAAATCGTTTCGGTACAGGTCCAAAATACCGGATCATGAAGTAACGAGTATATACCGAAATAGCTAGTTTACACCATGTATATGACTAAAGATAGGTAAATCCTACCACAAAGACGAAAAATTAGCACTGGAAAAGACGTAAACACCGTCGATTGATTTGAGATCCTCAGTCTCACGAGACATCGCGAGAGTGTGGCTGATCCATGGTTGTGATTGGTCAACAAACTGAAATGAGGTCAGTCATTTTCCCTTCCCTCCATATTGGCGGCCTTTGTTGCTTTTGTGTTGTGTCTGTATTTTGCCGCGTAAGCCTCCGGGCTGCGCGGAGTTAATTTGTCAAATTGTTCAGGTACAGGTACAGGACCTGTACCTAAACCTCTGTACCGGTACCTGTACCTGTACCTCATGTTACGTTTAGGTACGCAGCCCTAACGTGGACCAGATGCGAGGATTGCGATTTACCCGAATCACAGTTTGAGTGGTTTCATCTGAACAGGGCACACGAGACCTTGTACTGTAGCTAATCAGAGACATTTGCCAATGTTAATCTAATTACTATCTATGCTAATCTAATTACATGGAAAATTGTATTACACCATCAAGTGTCATGGTTTTGTTTCAGAATTATGTTATACTGAAATTAACGTACTGCTTCAAATTCAAGACCTTCCTCAAAAATTTGTGTAATTAACAAACAAACAGATGCCGTCTTCTGATTTTGACCAAAATTAAACATAACAGGTAACGTTCTTTAAGCGCATAATAATCAAATTATTATACAACAATATATTCCTTGAGGAAAATACCTCGTCAAGTCTCATGCCGACCAGTCCACAGACGCCAGTCTTCTCGGCAGTCTGGATGTGTTTGTTCACGGCGTTTCCCATCTTCAGGAAGTGTCAAGAAGCTACTAGGGTGAAAACACTGCTGCCCCCCTCCCACACCTTCTTTCTTCACGTCCGCGCCCTTTCTTCACGGTATCTCGAAAAGCAAGGCTATCTACGACGCAAACTTTTCCTAACAGTTTCTCTACACCATAATTTTCACAGAATTTATGGAATTTCCCGCCAAAAGACAAAAACGGTCTCTAAATTTACATTTCCAAAACAACAACAACCCTTCGGTGTTTCACAGGCGACCCCTGGCGGTTCATAGGTGAGAGGTCAACTACATTCTTTTCACAAGCCCCCCTCTGAGACAGACCCAGACGGTTACAGCGGCAAGAAAAAAAGGAAATGCTAAATCCCTCAAAATCCTGAACAGGAGACAAGAATGGCGTCTGCTGGTGTTGGTGGTGTTAGACATGTACTCTTAACAGGACCACCAGGTAAGGAACAGAACGTCTAAAAAAAACCGTTACACCGATGTGTGTGTGTGTGTTTTGTCCGCCAGTGCCCCCCTCCCCCCTTTTGCCATGCATGGTCACAAAAATATATAACTTTTGAAAATTCTTGAGTGATGCTGTAGGTTTGTATTGTATATAGTTTTTCTTGACACGTGTGGTGTGTTGCCAAGGTTAACACAAGTTTGTTTTACCACTGCTGTGCAAAGTGATTGAAAAATTATTTGTTTTTTGTCTTTTTGAGTTCAAAGCACAACTGTTCTGAGTTTCAACCTGCTGTGACGCTATTAAAAAAACGGTTATTACAAGGATTGATACATGTATTTCCTAAATCTGTGTCTTAATTTTCGGGACTATACCGCCCAGACAGTACGTTTTCTGAACCATTCCAGTGTGATGTTTAAACTCAGTACTGGTTTCTAAGGCAAACAAGGCTGGGTGCCACAGCTGTATTCAAGATGTGATTTGTGTTAGAAGAAGAAAGTGCTGGGTCCAATTTCGAATGGCCAGGGGGTGTGTGACTTCTTCTGTAGTCTCAGTAGGACAGTAAAAATGTGTAAGCTATGAAGGGTTGGCAAGTTGCTGGTAGTAATTTTCAGAATTACATCTGTCATGGACACGATGGACTTCTATATTTTGATCCTAGACACTTTTATCACACAGTCATCGCTGCCGCCGCAAGCTGAGAATTCTCCTGATCATCGTTAGAGCTACGTGGAAGAAGGTAACCTGAGTCTGGAGCTTTGGCAATTTTCAAGAAACCTTTCAGCTGCATTATGGAGATGAAAAACTGAACTGAATTGGAGTTGGTCAAGTTTTAGTGTTCTACAAGAGCGGTACATGTTGCGGAGACTATCACGTTGAAATTTGACACTGGAATTTCTGCTTGCATCGAGCATTTCCGAGTAAGACTGTTGCACGCTTCGAGGCGCCGCCATGCGTCGGAGCAGCTACCGTCCGATCCTGTACCTCCAGTTCTTCCTGCTCTTCGTGGACCTGTTCGTGAACTCGTTCTCGGACCTTCTGCGGATGGCCAACGTGATCCAGCTGGTTCTCTACATCATCCAGGACGTGTGTCTGGTCTTCGCAGTCATCGTGGTCTTCCTCGTGTTCTTCAACACCTTCATCTTCCAGGCGGGGCTCGTCGGGCTTCTCATCCGCAAATTCAAGACCACGATCATCGTGACGCTGACGTACTTCGTGCTGTGCGTGGGGCTCCACGTGTGGGCGATGTCGCTTCGCTGGGAGGACCCTAACCGCTACATCTGGAACGAGGGCTTCCAGGCGATGTTCGTGTTCCAGAGAGTCGGCGCCGTGCTGTACTACTACTTCTATAAGCGGACAGCGCTGCGGCTGGGAGACCCCAGGTTCTATCAGGACTCTGATTGGCTGAGGAGAGAGTTCGCCAAAGTAGGCAGATAGAAATAGAAGTTTTAGGTAGCATTTTTTTGATAGGTGTAACAAATTGTGTGTCTTATTGATATACTAGTAGCAGTTACAGATTTTCTGTGAAGTTTCTTCATCTTCTCAACCTTCCGAAGTTCCCGCCTCTTTTGTATCATAACCTCCTGATACTATATATGTGTGATAGTAACATCAGCTGCTGTTCTATACTTCTTCTACCATTATCTTGTCATATAGTAGTGAACAAAAAAAGTTACCTGAAAAGTGAAAACACACAAACTTGACATATCCCACTGACTGACCACTATATAACTTACACAAGTGTAACTAAAAGCCAAACAGTTGGTCGCTGGTAATTATTTCTAAACTTGGACCACCATGCCAGCAATGAAATGTTTGTCAAGGATATAAATTTAATTCTTGTAATTTGTAAGAATGTCATTGGTAGAAACCCTTTGTTGTCATTTGTAGAGGATTAGCATTTTTGTAATCTCCAAGCAGATGTTAGGAGGCAAAATTGAGATGGTTTCCTTTGTACAGTTCGTAACAGAAACAGGAAGCTAGGGAAACACTATCACAGTTTTGTCTTGATGTGCTTGGAGATCATTTTTGGAAAGTAAACAAACTGAATGCAGTGAAAAAAGTTAACTGTTTTAAAAAAAGATCCAAAATTTTGTTAAATTGTCATGTCCATTGAACATCTACTTAATTTGGTTACTACGACTCTTCTCAACTAGCAACTTTATAATTACAATTTATATATTTTGTCATAACTGTCAAAAACATTAAAACACATCTTAGCAGTTCTAGTGTAGCTCCACAATCAAATGCATCAAGTGTGATCTATGATATGTATAACTTGTTAGAATGTGTTCAAAATCAAATGTGGATGGAAAAGACATTTTTTAATGTCATCCTTGAGATACATGTCATTCAAGAAGAAGTTCAAATTCAGTGGTCTACAAAACTTCAAAGTGTGAAATGACTGAAATCTATTCTGTATAAGTATAACATGGTCCCCACACTTGAAAACTTTACTTCTTACTTTATGCAATTTGTATGTTTTGTCCTAGGCCTTAGGAAATGTTGTATAAATGAGTGTGTAGAAACAATTGCAAGAAGCCACTGTGAACATTTTGTGTTAGCCTTGACAACCACCACATTGTACATTTAGAAAATAGATGTGTTAATATATAATAAGTTATTGAGAGATGTAGTGCTTTAGAACTAGGGATGTGTACCATAGATGCAAATGAATTTACTAGTAATATGTAGACTACATTTCCAGGTACCAGTACAGATATTAGTACAGAGGTACAGGTACAGTAGCCTGGCCTGGGTACCATGCTACTTGTATGCCGGGGCTCCCACAGTCGCTTCCCTAAGAAGTACTTCTTAGGGAAGCGACTGTGGGAGCCCCAGCATACAAGTAGGATGGTACCCAGGCTACAGGTACAGGTATGGACCTACATGTACTAGTAAATAACTTGGCTATGCTTGGTTATATAAATGCAAAGTTAGAATAGTGCTTTTGTTGAGCACCTTTGTCAGTGAATGTATATGTTGTCTGAATGCACATTAGCACCATTGCTAGAGGATTTTTGTGTCCTTGTTTTTGCTCATACGGCCACACCAATTTAATTTGTTGTTTCTCAGATTCGCCCTGTCCATTTTTTTCTGATTTGCAAAAAAAAAAAAAATTTTAGGTTCGAAATCAACTGCAAAATGCTCAATGAAAGACATATTTTGGCCCCAACGGTTGAAGAAAGTCCTTTTCTTTCTTGTTGTTAAAAGTTTTTCAATGTAACAATGCAACTTTGTTTCATGAAAAGTTCTAAGTCTATTGTTTTAATTATTAGCAAGCCTGGTATGTTGACTTCATGGCTCATATCGTAACATTTCCGGCTATCACGGGGTGCCTTGGTCTTTTTTTTTCCCTGTCGCTTCATATTTTTTCTTTAAAAATCCGAGAAGCAACAAATTAAATTGGTGTGGCCTAGACCCTAGAATAGATACAGTGATAAATTCCTTCATATTTAGAATTAATTAATTATGCCAAATTTCACCAAATCCTTAGTAGAGTTTTCTCCTGTTTTCTAGATCTGAAATGATTTTGAATCATAATGTATGAAGTTATATTGAACTGTAATAATGAAAATTGAGTTGACAGAAATAAAAGTTGTATACATCTGTTTTCTTTAGTTCTATAATGAACTGTTTCTCTATAATGTTTACAACTGACCCTGAAAAAAGTTTTGCAGTAACACCTGTTTTTAAAGTGTCCTTGTTGGCCATTGTGTAACGTAATTATCAGTAATGTTGCAGTGAATATCAGTTATCATATTAAGTCTTCCCATGCTTGCAATAATTTGATATGAATAAAAGGACCGGGTCAGTTGAAGAAGAGAGACTACATATTACTTACAATGTAGATGTACTGTATTTGTACATTTTGTATGTGTGCCAGTTTGCTTGAATTTAGAACAAGCCACAGAACAACAAGAGTGTTCTATAGACAGCCTGAATTTTTTTTTCTGTCATCTGAATTTTGTGTGACTAATGTGTCTAACATTTGCTAGGTAATAAGCCGTACAAATTTTTTGTAAGTGGTGTTCAGGAAATACCATCCTACTACATGTCACCTACCCAGTATAACGGCCCTAGCAACGCTTTTGCCGTAAATAGCCAGATTGTGCGTGGTTCTTTAAACACTCATAATCGTCATATCTCCAGTTAGAATTGACAGATTTCGATGATTTAAACATCAAAATGATGCGAATGTCAAGGTTAATAAAGATAATGCATCAGACAAGGCCCCATAGGTAACATGAATAATTGCCTAATTTCGGAAAGTAAACACTAAGTTTTTTGTACCAATTTGAAAATTGTTTAAAAAATCGAATTTTAAAGCTTAAAAAAGTAGAATTTAGAGAAAAAAAATTACATTTTTGTTATCCCCATCAAAAGTTGTATCAGCCTATCAATTTTCATCAAAAAACGTTGATATTTAATTTTCTGCCCCTCCCCCTTGAAAATGTGCCTTTTTTCGCTTCGTTCTATTGAAGTGTTACAGCTTTACGGGCCCGTAGAAAAAAAGTGATACCACAATTTGAGCCAAAAAGTCATACTGGGTGATGCGGCAGAATACCCTACCACAAAATAAGGTCAAACCTTTTCAGCTGTAAACAGTAAAGTGGTTGCCACGAAATCACATTTCTAGGCCTCTTTTAGATATTGGCTGCTGTACTAGTACAGTAAAAGTAAGCAATTTGACACACCTAATAATTCTGTTTCTTTGGAGACAAGTACTAGTCTTACATGATTGACAATGTCCGAATTCTTCAGACAAAAGCTGAAATATTCCTAATTTTGTAATGTTACAATTTATAATAACTTCTTAAGTATACGCTTGCCAAATTGTGATAATGGTTCAAAATCATTGTTCAAATTTTGAACCAGCCTGGTGTGTTGACTTCATGGCTCCTATCGTACCATTTTGGGCCATAATAGGATGTCTAGCTACATGTATAGGCCTGTTTTTATTTTTATTTTTTTTCGCCCGCTCGCTCCATTATTTTTCTAGAAAAATCCATTAACCAAGAAATTAAATTGGGTTTGGCCTAGGGGACGTTTCCAAAATATGGCTGTCAAACGTCCTTAGAAGTTAGAAAAAAAAAGATTTCTTTCTCCGTGTCGAAATATATTTCAGTTAAATGATAGAAGCATGTAGTAGGGTTGTGGAAAATGTTACTGAGTCAGTTTCAAAGGCATATCTAGGCGGTGTTGATTTCCCTGAACAACAGAGATCAAAGGGTTCCAACATCTGCTTCCAGATTACAACAACAGGCCTCCATTACTGTAGCTGTCCCCTATGACCTTCTGACCTTGACCTAGGCTCAACACCCTTGCCAAGTGGATCTTTCTGAACTGGGAGGTGAAATACAAAGGACTGAGCTGTGGGTAGGAAGGGGCAACTTTTATTTTGAGCACTAAGGCCACACCAATTTAATTACTTGGTGAATGAATTCGCCCGCTTCATTTTTTTCTGATTTGCAAATAAGAATAAAAATTCAGAATCAACTGCAAAATGCTCATATTTTGCCCTGAACAGTTGAAAACAGTCCTTTTCATCTCAGTTGTCACAGCCATTCCATCTTTCAATGCAATGGTAATCATTAAAAGTTCAAAATTCATTGTTTAAATTTTGAACCAGCCTGGTGTGTTGACTTCGTGGCTCCTATCGTACCATTTTGGGACATAATAGGATGCCTAGACCTGTTTTTATTTTTTATTTTTTTCGCCCGCCCGCTCCATTATTTTTCTAGAAAACTCCGTTAACCAAGAAATTAAATTGGTGTGGCCTAAAGCATATATGTACAGAAAATACATTGTACATATTATTAAATGCTGAAACATGTAATTAAAAATGAAAAAATAAACAAAAAACACAGAAGCAAAAATATTTCACTAAGACATGCAATCATCGGCTTGCTGAATTCCCTTTATTATATAAACAGGGTTCTAGCTAGGATTTAATATTAGCGTAGTGGTACTGGCCACATGTCAAGGGAGAAAAGCGACCGTGAGGGAGGATGGGGCAGAGCTTTTATTGGTAATTTTCCACATTTGATCTGGCATTCTTGAACAAAGAAATACAGTCATAATGGCCCCCTATGCTGTATTGAAAATTTAGCTTAGGGGGTGAAAATTATAGCGTAGGGAGGGAAATTTAGCGTAGGGGTAAAAATTATAGCGTAGGGGGCCCCTTCGCTACTTCGCGCTAGCTAGAACCTTGGGCCTTATATGACCTCTACAAATGTATAATATATTTTCTGCTGGATCACAACCAAAGCCACTGTCTTCCTGTGTCTTACCTTTTGACCTCCTGTCTTTTTAAAAGTGACCTATCATGCACCAGCTGGTAGTATGTGGAGAAATTCACCCAAATGAATTACATCATACAATCCCTCCACAGGTCATGTACATAATAAAAGCCCTAAACACTTCCCAGAGGTCTGTGAAGGTCATAAAAACCAAAAGTCTGAAATCTGTGATTTCTTGTTTTAAGTTAAAGACTGTGACATGTTGGTTTTGATGTAATAAGAACTTTATTGCACGACAATTGCACGAGGTACAATGTATGGCAAACTACATAAAGAGAGTAACAAACAATGAAATAAATGTTGGATAAGACCTAATGTCAAATAAAACATAACATATCTTAATTATTCAAACAATAAGGGCTAGCACAAGTCTTTGATAAAGTGTTACAATCGAGTGGGCTAATCACAAGTTTCTGTTTTTTTTTTTAATAACAAAGCATTCCTTTATATTATCCTATTTTTGCATTGTGGGAACCATTACATGTAAAGATATATCCAAATCTGTCTACATCATTGAGACTCTTGAAATCTGTTGTACTTGATTCGAGAAACGTAAATAGCTTGTTGCGTAAAACATCATATTTGGTACATTCCATAACAAAGTGAAATTCATTTTCTATTATGCTTAAATTGGACAAAATGGACAGAACCTTTGGTCAGGCTATATTGTAATATCTACCTGTCTCAATATTCAATTTATGACTATTGATTCTTAATTATG